GTTCACTTAGAACTAACTAATAAAACATTCTTAACACCTAAAAATGCATATCATACATTATCATACATACTGTACATCACAGATCTCATTACATTAACTGTTCATTCTTCCTTTATTATATACTTTATATATTGTATTCATATTCTTGTTCCTATTACTCATGCATGAATTGTCTTTATCTTGAAAAGATGTCCCAATCCTAAGATTGGTGTAGAAGCCAAACATATTTTGAGCAATATATCCCTTATGTTAAGCCAAATTTGTGCGTGTGCTTGAGTAAAATATTTTAAAACATGTATAGTGAGTGAAAGTGGAAATATAAATTTTTCCTTTAACTTTAGCTTTAATTATGTAAATAAATGTTGATAGCACAGTATAAAGGCTATAACATAATGCCATCATCCCCATTTAGATTGGTTCCCTATAAGCCTTGCTTACACTATGCATTAATTACAGTATGTCTGGCACTGGGGACAATATTGAATGAACAAACTCAAGCTTTTTCGCCTTATGTTTTCCTCTAATGTTAACGTTACTCCCCCCTCCACCCCGATGCCAACCCCTGCTATGGTTACTTGTTTGTGTGAAGCAATAATGTTACTCAAACTATGCAATGCGCATCATTACAATAGCTTTTGCCTGTTTCCAAATTCAATATTAAATTGTAAACAATGTCAATTTTCCTCTTCAGAGAACATGCTTCTTTCTTCTCTCTTAATTCCAAAGTGGTGCTGATTATTTCTTCACAGAGCTAGGCTCTGAGAAAAATGGAAAGTGATCAGTTGTCTTTGCGTCAGCGGTGCAAACAATAATACCACTTTGAAACGCCATGGGGGGAAAGTGGAAAAGTTGCCTGTTTTCCACTTTAACACAGATCAAACAAAACCTGCACTAAGGCCGTAAACACTGGATAGTTTTTTGAGAAGACGTGAGAATTTTTCCAAGGAAATGATCAATGACAAGGAAAAAAAATAGGTAACATAACTGAATCAATACCTTTACAGTTCGTGTTGTTATATTTTTACAAGCTGTTATATATTTTGAAATATTTTCACCGAATGAAGTTATTAAAGGCTGATGTGGCTGGCTATGTGAAGCAAAAGTTTTACATGGCAGTCAACCAGATGTCAATGATTTAACATTTGTAATAACTATAATTTGCTTTTTAATCAGTTTAATTTAATCCAATCTGAACCTGTCCTTGTCAAAGACCTGAGACACCTGATATACAAACCGGTTTCTTAACTGTGTGAATGTGTAATTCATGAAATGTAAGTAAAGTCTTACAGATGAATTGTTCAGCCTGTGTTTTTTTGGAATTTGTGACCCTTCCCCCTAATGTTCCCAAGGTGCTATTTCCTTGAGGCCCATGCCATCACCTGCTTTTGGTGACTGAGCTCCACCCTCCTTTCCCTTAACTTCATGGATGGAAACCCAACTCCACCTCATTCATTTCTGATTTTCATCTTTTTTTCTGTCCCTCTGTTCTACTCCTCTGCTCTCCTTCTCTCTGTGTTGTGTGTTAATCTCACCCACACCATTGTTGTGTCACCAGCTCGCCCCGTTGGTAAGTAGGAGCTGATCCCATTGTGCATGCGTTGCTTTCTTTCTGTTTTTGATCACACACATGTATGCATGGACTGTTGTGGCATTCCACAAACACATTCATCGAACTAATATTGGACATGCATATCTACATTGTTGCTATCAATCCCTGACTTCCCCTTGCAGTTTTTTTTGGGAGAAACAGTGGATTTACCACTTCACTTCTTATAAAATGGGGGTCCAGATACAGTTTGGTTGATATGCCTTAGTTCAAATACTGTTAATTAGATATCATTCATTCTGATGTTCTGGCAGATGGATGAATGGCTTGTGTGATTGGCATAGTCAAGAAATTACAAAGACGTAAATGCATGATCCTTTTAATTTGCAGCTGGACCTTCAGTCCAAGCATTTTTCTTTTAAGCTAGTCTTCCTGTACTACGCACTTTGGAAGTCTGTACAAATGTGTTGCTATTGTGTTATGGTTTATTTTACCTTTAACCTCAGAGGCACCCCAGTTTGTGGTGCGACCCCGTGACCAGATTGTCGCACAAGGGCGAACAGCTACCTTTCCTTGTGAGACCAGGGGCAAACCTCAACCTACTGTCTTCTGGCAGCGAGAGGGTAGCCAGGTAAGGATACAAATTTAGAATTTTGACAAAGTGTACATGTTTATGTCTATATGTAGGCCTACCTTTCTAGACAGACATTAATTCTGCAGTAGAATCCAGACTAAAGTATTTAAAATATAAAAAATGGCAGAGGAGCTGACTAAAAGGATCAACCAGGGGACAGCAGAGTGTGGTTCTGTTCCATATACAGATAATGAAGTGGTCGTTTATCATCAATCTACACCAGTCTGACCGGCCAATTCACTGAGCAAGAAACAATGTCATGTGCTGCATTAGAGTCATTAGACATAATGAAAGCAGGCTAATGTCCTTTCCTGCCCATCAGCTTGTCTGCTTCGGGTGCAGAAACAGACAACGCTGATGCCTCAATTTTATGACCATGACTGCAGGTTATCACAGCAGGATTATCACTCTGGGGGTAAACTGCCATTCAGACCAAGTAGGAAAGAGACATTGACCCACTTTTCCAACTGAATTGTACATAACTGTTGGAATATATAAACATATTGAAGGCATATCTTGACAACAACAGTGATTGCAGTGGACGAAAGTAGTGTTGACCAATATAAATATAAATAAATATAAATATATACATAGCATACAATGAATTCAATCTTTCCCAGCAAACAACACGTAATTATTTAGAAAATCAATTAGTATCATCTGCGTGCAGTGTTTGAGAGACCAAGTGGAGATGAAGGCCAGGAATTTATCACACTCAAATGGAAAATATGTTGTTAATAATAAATAAAAGAGAAATAAACTTAATAGATTCTTTACCTTGGGCTTGCTACAAGTATGCCAATTTTATTTACATTAATTCCTTCTTTCACTCCCTGTAGGATCTTCTGTTTCCCAACCAGCCAACACAGGGAGATAGCCGTGTTTCTGTGTCTGTGAATGGAGAGTTGACCATTTCATCTGTGCAACGCTCTGATGCAGGGTATTACATCTGCCAGGCTCTCACTGTAGCAGGCAGCATCATGGCCAAGGCCCAGCTTGAGGTATCAGACGGTAAGTCTGGACACACACACACAGATTCAAAGTGTTTATCTACACTGTACACTACTATGAGAACTACTGTTTTGTGTGATTTAACAGCACAAATATGTGATAACAGTTATTACTATGGTTATGCCCAGTTACGTACATTATGCATCAGGGAGTTACATGGACAGTGTTAGTGAATACTCAAAACACAATTGCATGCTTGCATGGCACAATACACAGGTAATTTCACCAGAATTAAGCCATTTCTTTTTCCCCATGGTATCATCTGGAGGGTTTTCTCCAAATAGCTGTAAGATGACCGAAACACCACTGCTGTCCTGTTAATAAGATGTAAAAATTGATAAATTATAAACTTGTAATGACAGCAGTTTGTAATTGTAACATACATATACCTTGATATTATATCTGAATATCACATATGTTATCATGTGTTACAACAGCAAACTTCTCTTTCTGGATGTCATAACATCATTCAGATTTCAGTCTGTGGAAACAAACACATTTACTTAACTTCCTGAAGTCATGTTGTTCAAACTGGGTCAGTGTTAATAGTATTTTGTATTTGATGTTGGTGGATTTCTTTAGTGTGATGTCAGGATGCACACTTGGCTTTAAAATCATACAAAAAACACACACATAAGCTTGTAGTAATGTCCAGACCTTACAAAACATTGAAAACCAGTGTATAAAAGGCTGTTTTTCTGCCCACACTTATATTGGACGAAGATGCACATGTTCTAAAAGCCAGTCACCCACAATTATCCTTTTCATTATCACCTTGCTGTGGTAAATTTGAATAGTCTGAAAAGACTAAAATGTGTGTAAAATAAAACTGTCCCTTTGATGGAGAGACACTTTACTTTTTTTTTGACAAACCTTTAATGTCAGTATTAAGTGCTGAGCCGCTGCCAGCTGGGAGCTGTTTATGCCCTTCTCTCCATTTGTTTCTTGGCTTTTTCTCCCACACATTATTAAATTCTCTTTAATTAAAAACATCTGTTGAAGTGTTTTTTGGAGCAGAAACGACTCCTGTTCTGTCACTCAGAGGAGATGGATCAATATCAAAATGTTTGGTTAAGAGCAGGGAAGGGAGAACTGTGCTTGATTGATGGCTGTAAACAGAGAGTTGCCGTGATACCAAGTAAAGTTTTGGAAGCTTGCACAGTGCTGTTTTTAGCATTTCCAACGAGTCCTCCACTGTATGAAAACCTTCTGAATTTTCAGATATGGACTAGCGCTGGGTGTTACCTTGGATGTGCAACTAATAGGTTAATTAATTATCCAGTTAGACTTGAGAGAATGGTTTGTGCGGCAATTTAAGGATGAAGCTATAGCGATTCCTGTGTAGAATTAGTGAGAGCGGGACAGTTGACAGCTGATCATTATAGGAGCAGAAGTTATGCGCTCTAACACCTGTATCACTTCATATACTACCTTGCAAGCTTGAGGAAGACCGGAAACAGAGGTATTGTTCTCATTGAGCATACGGACAGACAGCTGAGATGCTGCAAAAGTAGTTTGACAGTTTTCTGTGGATGTGAAACTGGGTCACCATTAGAATTCATTGTAACTGCTGGAAATCCAAGCTGACCACTGCGCTGCCCTCCACGTAGGAGCAAGCTACACTTTTTTTCAGATACATATTTCAAGCCTACAGGGGGTGAGTGTTTGATACTAGATTCAACATGTCTGACGGATTCCTACAGACACTGAGGATGCCTGAAGGCTTAAGTGGCTACCAGTGTGATGCTTGATCAAAGAGTACAAACCAGGACCTCGAGAGTTACCTTTCAACTCTAGTCTTGAGCAGTGGTGTAGTGGTTTTTGTAGAAATTGATGCTCAGATTAGATGCACTTATCTAGCAGTCTACCGATATGGGATTTTAAATGGCCGATGCCGATATTTAGAAAGCTAGGCTGTCGATGACCGATATATAATAACGATATCAAAAGAAGAAAACAATGTACAATTCTATTCTATTCTTTAGGAAATTCGGGCATATGTTTACAGCAGGATGCTTGAAAGTTATAGTAGAGCACTTGAAATCAACTTTTCCCTAAATTCACAAGAGCACTAACATTGTTAAATAACAAGCACCAGACTGACAAGGCTGCCTGCAAGTATGTGTCAAGACATATTTTATTTATCTGCCTTGTGAGCGCCAACATTATCTCAAAATGCCAAATAATCGGCCCTATTAATCGGGCGACCAATTAATTGGTCTATCAACACACTCGTCTACTCAATGTTTTAATAATCAACATTCCCTCAGTAGCAGCTAGTAATTAGGTCTCACAACATCCCTTTATCTGCAAACCTACTGTAAAACAATTCCATTTATTTTGCCTCTGGTAGTGATAGGTGATACACAATCTTGAAAAGCAACATTTTGTTATTGCCTTTGTCACTAAAGCTGGAGTGTATGATTACATTTCTTATAGGACAACAGCTAAATTAGGAACAGCAATATGATGTTGTTGTTGGCTCTCTAATCACTTGGGGTAATAATAACTTGCTGTACAGTAGATTTGATGTTCCTGAAAATGCAATGCTAGACTGTCTATCTTTAGCCAATATAAGGACAAATCTTATACTATGAAAGACCGGTCGGTGAAGGATTTATTTTATGTTCATAATACATAAATGCAAACAATTCAGCCTCCATAATAACTTCCACTGTCCCTGCACCTAGTTGTACCTGATTTTTCAGCTATTCTGCTTGAGTTGCTGTGTTCCTCATTGTCCTGAAGGAGGTGTGATGAAAGATAAGGCAGGGGGAACCTGCTGTAAACACTTGTGCGAATGGAGACAGACCTGATAACACTGGAGAGCAGCAGTGAGGAAATTGGAAGCAGGGGATAGTTACAAGGCCTAGAAAGCTTCAACACTCCAGAAATTACTGTTGCAGAGTGCAGAGGCTGTTTTCTGGATGATATAACATGCTTTAAAAAGCTTTAAAAGAGACGAATTGTTTTTCTGCTTGGCATGCTAATTCATAGTTTAGTTTAGTGTGGGGTGGGGGTAAAGATGCCAAGAGGGAGGAGGTGCAGCCATGAGTCAGAGTAGGAAGAGAGAGGACAGGCATGAATGTGTAGAGAGGTGTTATAAAGAAGGTATGGTAATTAGCACCACGGGTGAAGCATCGTTAATCCTCGCCTAGTAATTAAAACTCAAAGGTGTGATGCAGTGCCATGAGCACACTGCCCTACTGTGGAAAAGGCTCACAAAACAGTCACTTCCTCTCACAACAAATCCAACAGATTGAACCCTGCCATCTTGGGCCTGCAACCACAAATGCAATTACTGCAATCACAAATTAACACTTGTGATAAGGTCATGTCTTTTTTTTCACAAATCAGGCAAAATCTAACCATTTAGAGCAGAGAGTCATTGTTTCACGCCAAGACCATGACATCAAAATTACAGTGCTAGAAATGTATTCAAATAATAATACCCATTCCTTGATTATTATCCTTAGCCCTGAAGGACCGCCCACCACCCATCATCCGGCAGGGCCCATCCAACCAGACGCAGGCAGTGGGAGGTGTGGCCCTACTTAGGTGTCAGGCGTCAGGGGACCCAGAGCCTACGGTCACCTGGCGAAAGAATGGGGCCAGTCTGCTTGGAAAGGACCCACGGTTTTCCCTGCTGGAGCATGGCAGTCTTCAGATCCAAAGTACCAGGGTGGGTTATGGTGGATTACAAAGAGATGCATGTACATAGGACTTAGCCTGCACAATTGTACCTGTAGCATTACATGGCACAATGGCCTACTAGAAAAATATTGAAGGTTAATTCCATTGAATTGAAATTTAGGTCATATGTTTGTAATTTTGACCATCAACTCGATTACATATGATAACATTACAAATATACCAAAGTCAATGCACTGCAACATTGCAACAAGTACTACAAAAGTCAGACAATCAGTGTTTTCAACCTGACGGTTCATTGCCCCATCAGAGGGCTGTTCCCAGCAATAAACATCCTATCTTACTGTTACAGATAGAAATGATGGCTAAAAACATACAAATTATGAAGCTGTGATAAACAAGAATTATCTGTTCTGATTCTGGGTTAAACTGCATGATAACAAGTGTCCTGCTGAGGAACATAAAGATTATAAGGAACATAATCTTTACCCACCTTTTTGCTGTACCTGAAGTGTAAGTTTCACTTACAGAGCTTCTACCAGTACCTAAGGATTATTTAGATATTATTCATAAAAACAAAGGATTGTAAATTAATCTTTGAGATCAAGCGCCATATCAGTTGAAGCTCAGCGCCATATCAGTTGAAGCTCCATATCAGTTGAAGCTCCTTTACATGTGTGCCTGAAAATAAGCACATTATGCACACATTTCATGTTCTGCCTGCAAGTTATAGAAGTACCCTGCAATGCATTTTCTTTAGTGAGAAGGGTTTCTAATTCTACATTTGTGTTTTATTATTTTGTCATTACAGCTTTAAAAAAAATCAACATAATTTTGCATACATAGATATACATTCAAACTTAACTAGTCTACAAGTTATTACATCACATCATATCCTATTGAATGTGACAGATGAAAGAGAAATTCTCTCATCTGCTGGCTGGTCAGCTGAGTGTAATTCAAATGGACAAGTGCAGGCAGGTTGCTTTTAAAAGATGAATAGCGAGTATTGATTTTTATAAGTTGTTAAACGCTGCTATTTAGTCCGAATCTCTGAGGAAGCAGTTAGACTCAAGGACTCAAGGACAGGGACCTGTGAGAGAAGTCTAGAGGGGGTAATATAATGGAGGAACTGCAATATACAGTGTCCTGTCACAGTGTCAAAGTGCTCTTTCTGTGTCACTCTCTTTCTCTTCTACTCCCTCTCGAGAGATAACATAGTCATCACTGGCTCCTAAGGCATTGCCAATATAAAATAGATTGTCATATCACTTATATCCTGTGTCAGCACTGATGATGATAATGTTGATGGCTCTGGGAATGGGGGGTGACTATTATTGGAGGAAATCAATTAAGAAAATTAATGTAAGCTCTTAGTGGGCTCTTTTTTTTCATTGACCGGTCTTAAAGTTTCTTCTCATCCACTCTCCGGCTTTTCTCGAGCCAAATGCAGGCCAGTGGAGGTTAATGCATTTTTACTGTACTACTAGCTGCGAACCTCCTTCAAAAGCCCACACTGACATAAGAGCTTGTAGAAACCATCTGGGATCAGAGTTACAAAGGCTATTGGATTCAGTCGAATACAGCATCAGAGCACAGCCTGAAAGCTGTATCATTTGTGATTTGGATGAACAGAAAAAAAAATCTTTATGGGTCAGTTTCAAAGAGACATCTTCACCTAACTCTTTGGATTTTAGTGCTGAATTTGGTTTCTTTTACAACTCTGAGCCTCAGTCTAATTGTTAAAGTCATCATGCTGCTGATTAAAAGGAAGCTTGTTTGAACCTTAAAGATAATATCATTTTCTGTCTTCCTTAGCTGTCTGACTTAGGGTTGTACACCTGTGTTGCTACCAGCTCCAGTGGAGAAACCTCCTGGAGTGCCTACTTGGATGTCAGAGGTCTGCTTCAGTAGAAATAGCTCATGAAAATTTAACAAAATGAATGCATATCAAGCATAACTTTGCTTAATATGCTTTGCTTTTGCAGGTATTCATTTTTGTGCCTCTGCGTTTCAGATTCCACTGACCTCGAAGACTTCATGTCTCACAACGCAACGGCCCTCCCAGGGCCGCCCTCCAAGCCAGAGGTCACGGATGTTACCAAAAGCAGTATCTCGTTGTCATGGGAACCGGGGCCAGAGGCAGGCTCCCCAGTGTCCTCCTATGTCATTGAGGCCTTTGGGTATGTCTGTGACCTATGGCCTTAAGCTGCATTTAGTGACCCCGCAACTTTCATGGCAGTAACAGATGTGGGGTGGTTCTGTGTGCAGTTCAATTAAGCTAAGACCGTTTCAAGCAGAATATTATGGGTGGCTTATCTCTTACAGTTTTACAATCCATTTTACAAGAGTGAAAAATGTTCTGCTATTTAAATTTGAATGCCAATTATTTGGCAAATAAATTCTTAGTTCAAGCAGAAAATGATTGGCTCATGATAATTAGCTTTTTTTCCCCTTACCAAATAGTTGACTAGAGACTAAAAGAAAGGACTACAAAAACATTTTTTTTTTTTATTCTGATAATTCTTTTTGTTGATGACAGGAAGTATTTCAAAATATTTCACAAGTGAGCATGGAATGGCTGTATGACATGTGCTTTTTTTTCTCCTAGTCTCTAGGAGCACGACCCACCAGTGTTGCCCCAAATAAACTGTCCGGGTTACTCCTATAGTGATGAAAAGGTTCTTCATAATTAATTAGATTAATCATGCTTTTTCTACAGTCAGTCAGTGAGTAACAGCTGGCAAACAGTGGCAGACCACGTGAAGACCACCGAGTTCACAGTCAAAGACCTACGACCCAATACTGTCTACCTGTTCATCATCAGGGCAGTCAATGCTCAAGGGCTCGGGGACCCCAGCCCCATGTCTGAGCCTGTCCGGACTCAAGGTACAGAAATAAGAATGGATTGTAATAAATACTTAGCAATAAGCATCACTATTCCACTCTACATGCCTGCGTTGCTTTCTCTCTCTCAGACATTAGTCCCACAGCGCAGGGAGTGGACCATCGTCGCGTGCAGAAGGAGTTGGGGGATGTGGTGGTTAGCATGCATAACCCTGTGGTCCTTAGCTCCACTTCAGTGCAGGTCACCTGGACTGTGAGTACTTATAACATTTGACAGTGGTTTATTTTTTTAACTTCAGAGTAAAAAACAAATCTTGTCTAAGCTTGTTTGCGAACTCTATACTTGGCATGCCACTATGGTTTGGATCTGTTGGCGCACACACAGATTAAACAGTGGGATTCATAGTCTGAACAGCTGGTGCTCCATCAATTTAGAATGGTTTGAGGTGATGCAAGAATCAAGACTAATGTTTCTATTCGGGACAAATACATCACCATTAGGTGCTACATGTGTCACTTCTGGAGGCAGTTTGCAGTCAGCCCTTTATCTGGGAAATGTTATTTCTGTCTGTTGGCAAGGTGTCCCGACAGCCTGCTGTAGGTTAATGACACACCTAGGATGGGCTTACACTAGTCTGCTATTTCATGCTTGTCAGTACGACAAGCATGCACTGTAATGCTGCTTGCAGACTGACACAGTGACAGGATAAACCTGTGTTTTTGTGGTCGATCTGAATGGGTCTGCGGATATTCGACAAGGCTCCGTTGGTGGGAAAAAAAACTTCCCAATGTCAAGCAATGGTTTTTATTAAAGTGGTTTGTGTGCACTGTTGGATTTGGTCTTAAGTCTTTGTTGCCCTGTGCATGTCCTGTGGGAACAACAACTTTAATTGGACAATCTGTTACAGAGCTTAATGTTAGGTGAGAAAATAGAGATGCTCAAGTGTCACTCCCCTAGTTGCCTAATTATAACCATAACCCTCATCCAAAACTTCATCTTCAACCAAAACCTAATCCTGACCCATCCACTTAATATGTCCAAACTACTTCTCAGACTTAGTTTACTTGGGTTCTGTGGAGAATGCTAAGAATTTCTGATATGATATCCGCAAGGCAACAATACAAAAGCTGCTATCTTCATAGCTGTGCTGAAAAAGCACACTTTCGTAAGAGACTAATCTATACACAAGTGTGTGTATAGTATGAACTGTGAGAACTCTCACACTGAAATCACCACATTCTTGTGTTTATAATGCTTTTAGATTCACCAATCATTTTGTCAAAGACACACAGACGAAGGCTACAGAGAGAGAGAGAGAGAGAGAGAGAGAGAGAGCAAAAAAGAGAGAGAGAGAAGAGATCCATCCTAATATATTTGGACTGGTCTGATAATAAACAGCTGCTTTATATCACTTGTAAAAGCCTTTTCTTGCTTCTTCCCTTGTTAACAAGCCATTACTATGAGTTGTATCTGTTACATATTTTACTCTTCCCCTAAAAGGCACCAGCAAAATTGAAAAAGAAAAGAAAAGAATTTTCTTTTGACTGTTTTGATCCAGTATTTTGAGTCCTAAATCTGCTGAAGGTCTCTGACTCAGAGGTACTGTTCAGCTTTGACAAATACACTACAGCACAAACACTGTTGTGGTTTCCTGCTTCTCCACTGCTAATTAAAGTGTACGATTAACTAAGCGTGCATTGTCACTGACAGAGGACACAAACTGAATGCTGATCCACTGCTCCAAATCAGTTAACACCTCCCACATCATTACCATACAGCATGTCTTCATCCCACTCTCTCTCCTTCTCCTCTTCTCTCAGGTGGAGAATCCATCCCAGTTTATTCAAGGCTACCGTGTTTTGTTCCGGCAGACATCAGGTCTACCCTCCCCAGGGCCATGGCAGATACAGGACTTGAAGGTTGCCTCAGAGAGGGACATAACTCTCTCTGATCTGAAGAAAGGCATCGTCTATGAGATTAAAGTGCGACCATACTTCAATGAGTTCCAGGGTGCAGACAGTGAATCCATGACAGCACGCACCATGGAAGAAGGTAAGCAACAAATTAATTCACATTTCCAACAAAAAAATCAATTTCTCTGCTGACTTTATGTTGCAGGAAATGTAAGATTTAGTTACTTATGCATGAGCAGATGCTCTTGTGTAAATGATTATTCCTACTTTTATATTTAGTTGCCGCTAGTAATGGCTTCATGGCTAGATAGTAATGGATAATGGCATTTCAAGTACACCCACCCACACACGCATACTGCTGCATTGCCATGTCCCCTGTGTGTGAAAACAGGTCTCCCAGACAGCGCAGTGGGGGTCTTTGACAAGCCTGGGCCTCTGTGGGTTGGTGGGCAAAGAGGGAGGGCAGAAACTGTCTCTTTTGACATAAGCTCAACTCTCTCTCTGCTCCTCCATGGACCCCTGCTGCCATGTCTCAGTCGCACACCAAGACCAGACCTGCGTAATATGACCCCCCTTTACCATCAAACACACACAGTCTCAATCCCCAGTGAGCTTTATTGGTGGTAACACTTGTTGGTGTCCTCCTGTCATGCAGGTCAATTGATCAACTGTTTGTGGCACAGCTGTGTGCAACATAAACATAATTTGTTGCAAGCTTTATTTGAACAATAAATTAACAATGTGCAGTATAACTCCATAAATTAACTATAGCATTAACCCCTTTTCACAGAATGAAAGGATGTCATTATCTCCAATATCTCCAAATGAATGTCCATAAATCTGATTATAACTCCAGAATCATCACATTTTTAAGTACCAGTGATAGTTATTTGTACATACAGTACATGGGTACACTGGAAAAATGCTCCTTGCTCATTGCACATTTGGCAGACCTCTTATCTGTATTGGCTACATAATTAATAATCATCATAGTTCACTCTTTCTTCTCTTATAAATAGTGGTTCAATAATCCCAACTCAAGGTCCACTTACTAGTTTTTTCCCAGAAGTCCTAACTTGCTTGAAAACGAAAGGGCAATTCAGGCACTGAAAAGAGCAGTGAGTATGGAGAAATCATATTAAAAGGCCTTTATTGTAATGGCCAAATCATTAAAAAAGCCAACATGTTTCCAGGTCTTCATCAAGAATTTAAATGTCCTTACTTGCCTCATCCAAAATGTCCGAAAAGGGCTCTCGTAGTAACAAATGCACCTCCATCACAACTGAGCCAACCACTGATGAGGACCTTGTGATAGCAAACCATTCTTTCCAAGGTCAAGAAAAAAATGTGCATGCTTAATTGACAAAAGTTGTGTTTTGCCTGTAGTCTTGGCAGGGGACCTCTTCATGTAATTGTATTCAATTGCTGCTGCATCAGCTGTGTGGAACACTGGTTGTACTGGGAGCAAGTCAGGCTGAGGCCATTAAGGCATCTTTACCCCAGTAGGAGGAAAAGAGGGGGCTATGACCAGGGTATACAGCTGGTGGAGAAATTCACCTCACCGTAGCCCAATTAAAATGGCCACACAGGATCACTAGAGGTCTTTGTGGACTGGTGCACATGCTCTCGTTAGTTGGATCCTGGAAACAAGGCATCATGGTAGAGGAAAAATTGGCTTGATCTACCAATACTATAGAACCCTGAAATGTGCTGATCTGCAGAATTATGAGGAAAAAAACACTTGATATCAATCAAAAGCAGGTTGGGAATGTGACACTGCCTTTGTGAAACCCTAGCAGAGGGCGTCTTTGGGGCCTCAGAGGTCAAAACAGCTGATGTCTCCCAGTACATACAGGAGCAAATTGTGTATTAAGATTGATGATCCTCACAACCATTCGATGAGTTGTTGGTAAGAGTAATGTGGCCAGAGGCAGTAGGCACCGTCATCACTGTTATCCATAGGATCCTAAGGCTTCCCACCACTGCTAGTGGCAATTTAAAAAAAATGCTATGGTGTGCTAATGTCCCAGGCAGGTATAGCTGTTAGAATGATATACTGATATTATGAGACCAGGGCAGGAGGGTCAGTGAAGAGAAAAGACAAGGCCATCCTATATTGAATAGAGCTCCCCGATTCTACTGAAAAGGGTTGATTTTACATTACACCTGTGTTATGCAAGGGCAGGTATGTTGACATAGAAATGTTTACTAATTCATGAATTAATTAGCTTAATTGATGCACTAATTTGCATAACAGGTTATGTTTACCACTTTATATCCTGTATAGCAGGACATTAAGCAGCTTAAGTGCCTTTTGTTTAATTGCACAGCTGTGAGTAAAAACTGAAATGTTCCCTCAGACATTGGAGGCATTAATTGCTTTAAATTACTCTCTAGCTACTGTGTTCATCAGTCGTAATATCAGTATTAGTCACATTATTAAGAGCATACTCTTTGACCTTTTCTGCTGTTGTGGCCATTTATTGTAATGTTATCCTGAGTCATTACTGGTATTGTAGCCATTATTCATCCTCAGGGATTGTTCTTGTCCATACGGAAATTGCAGAAGTACACTTAATGATTCCTGTCTTCTCCTGATGTAAACCTTTGACTGACTAGGCAAGCTCCATCAGTTTGCTGAAACAGCACAACTCAATTGACATTTAGAAAACTTAAGTGTTCTTGCTCATTGCTGTATTCCCATTAGCTAACCAAAAATACTTATTTATAATTTTAATAAAATCTCCTCTTTGGCGTAATCGAACTGTGAACTGTGTGAAACTGAATGCATAATCTAGTGGTCACTTTACAAGCTTTCTGTCAGTTTCATCCCCCATTTTGCTGCCCCCTATGTAACGTTCGCTGATATTATACAAATGGTTGACCATTTTAAGGAAAAACCAACTCAAACCTCCCAGTCTCTGGAGCCCACTCCATTGTCTAATATGTGTTCAATTGATTCACATTATTTTCATTCTCATAAAACCATTCAATGACCCGTCATTTCCTGTATAAATCTATGATCTCTATTTGTCATGTTTCTCCACTCATTTAGTCAGGTTTTTCCTTAATTTGTCACTCGACTGCATGCTTACAGCTGTCTTTTTGGAATTGTACGAAGCAAGCAAGAAAAGGTAATCGGGATGTAACAGTCTTGTCCATTTACTGCTTTCTTGCTAGAACATCCTGTTTGTTTGATTTATATTTGACAAAAATAACTAAATAGCATCTGAAAAAATGAAGTACATTATAATCATAAATTAATGAGATTTTCGACAGCCAGTTCTGAAATTAGGTCGTATTATCACTGCCTTTTCATCTTTTTTTATTTTTGGAAAGATATTAAAAAAACTGGTAGGTAGCTAGCTTTTGGCCCAGGCCCAAGGATTTATTATTCTGTGTTCATGTGTCCAACATCTGGATGTTGGAGCTCAGCTACTGAACAGCTCTGTCATTTCAAAAAATCTAAAAGATGAATGATAAACAAACTTTTCTTGGCTGCAGTTGTGTTAGCTTGTGGCGGTTTCCGCTTCATTGGATGTTTTTGTTTGTCTGTTTTTCCCTCAAACAGATTTATGATTAGGATTTGATTTTGTGAAATTTGGCCTACAAAGGTGATGGCTTGCCTTAGAAATGATGAGCCAGAGAGCCACATAAAAAGTCTTGTTTTTTTCATCATGTTTTTGTTCCAAATGATTTGTAAAGGTTGACTTCCCTGCACTACAGTCCATGTTTGTTTTAAGAGTTATGATTATTTGCGTCCATTCCAGATGGTATCTGAGCATAAATATATCGTAAGTATAGGATCATTTCTTTGGATGGCCTGTCATACGTCATTTTGCTTTCTGAACTGTAGAACCATCACTGTATTGTAATAGTACATCTGTGCGAGTTGATTTAACAGTAATTACTTTAGAAAGTAAATACAGTCCAAATGGCTGAATATAGATATCCTCAAACTGGGTTGAGTCAATTTGTTACAGTAAACGTAATAGAAAAAAAACTGTATCTCATATGGCAGATTTAGTGCCTTTGTACTGCCAGGCTGTCAAATATGTAGCTGACATGCCATATCTCTTTAGAACCTCTCTTTTAAGCATAAGTTAAATCATTCAGGGAAGTTTGTTTCATCTTTCCAACTAAAAAAATCTACTGTTTTGCCTTTTTTTTTTACTTTAAGAGTTAACTGAGCCAGATGTTGAGAGCTTTCCAGATTTCAGAGGACTGGTACAGACAATTGTCATTATTCTCCTGATATGTCCTGGCTTTATTACTCTGATCTACAAATACAAGCACTCCCTTGCTGTTGACTCACTGAGACACTGTGCACATGTTCATTGCATTTCTCTCCAGCCATTCACAGAACCAGTCCCATCTGGAGAATTTAAGTCACAGTAACCATGTTGCTCTCTGGCCAGGTGGCAAAACAAAACAATCCCATCATGGCCCACCTGCTTTGGCTTCTCTGCACTCCTGTGGCATTCAGTGCCTTGCTTACATTACACTGCAGATAGCATTATTATTTTGTGGCTCCTTAATTGGGTTCAGCGTAGTTATTTCATCCACTCAGTCAGAACATAATGATAGTTTTAATGGGAATCGTGAGAAAATATGTGTCCAGAGCGGTCTGTTCAGGGAGGGATGATGATTTGCTCAGTTGCATAGACACGGTGTTTGCCTCCTGCTGTCTGCAGTCTCTTTAAATCACCGATCTGTCCATGCAGGTTATCACGCCAGTTTGGTACATTTAAAATGTCCCATTAAAGAGCAACTTTGAATTTGGCACTGTGAAGCATAGCGCCACATTTCTGTTGACAAACCATCTCAACATCCTCATTACAGGACATGGACATTGACCATTTTCATTCAGATAAGATATGCAGAATTGAATACAGCTACTTTGGAAGCATTTATGTGTGGCCTTAATGGTTCTAATCCATTATGGAAGTTATGTTAGCTACTAGGCTCAGCCAATTTTCTTGGCAGAGGAAATTCCACTCATATCTAAACTTGTGCGTCTGCTTGGAATGGTTATCATTTGTGCAATTAGTAAAGCACAATTTGGACCTCCAATGCTTTATGTGTATAACTTATGATGCCAGTAAAATAATAGAATCTTAAACTCAGTATAATGGAAGAATGGTGTATTTTTTAGGTCCCAGTGCTTTCCAATTGTATAAAAAAAATCCTACCATTAAGTTTGGAATTTAAGATGAAGTGCTCTGGTAGCCATCTGCTGCACTGGCTTAGAAAAAACCTTGTTGTATGCCTTGCTGTATGAATATGAATTGAGGTAGTGGGTGAGACAAATCAAGTCTTTGACATGATAAAGAAAATAGGAGACACTCACTTTTCTGTTAAAAAAACAAAAAACAATATGTTGAATAATTGTATTCTTTGTTCTTATGTATTTCTTTTGTTTCTTTAATCTTTCCACCCCACACAAACCCCATCAGCACCCGGTGCGCCTCCGCAGCAAGTGACAGTGTTGACAGTAGGGAGCCATAACAGCACATCCATCAGTGTGTCATGGGACCCTCCTCCCTCCGACCAACAGAACGGCATCATCCAGGAGTACAAGGTAGGATCCAACTCTGCACCAAACTGAATATTTTAGTTACATACTGTACAACCATACAATGAATTCTCTCTGGCGTGTCTGTCTTTGTCAGATCTGGTGTTTGGCCAACGAAACCCGCTTTCATGTCAATAAGTCTGTGGACGCAACCATCCGTTCAGTGGTAGTCGGGGGGCTGCAGGCTGGAGTGCAGTACCGCGTGGAGGTGGCTGCAGGCACCAGCGCAGGGGTGGGGGTCAAGAGCAAACCCCAGCTCATCATTTTGGGTAATCCAGTCACACACACACCAAACCTGGAGTCAAATGAAATGACCTCATAATGGGGGACCTAGGTCTCCATCACAGATTGGGGGGTCTGGAAAATGATTTATCAATTTATTGCACTTGAAGAAAGAAGATTGCGCTTTACAACGCAGACGTCTACTGAGAAATCAATAACGTTTCATTAAGTGTAGTGTCTGGTAACACTGTGCCAAGTACTGTTAGCCATATCAATAATCCTCTTCAATATGTGGGCAGCTGGCGCTAACAAAGTAGACAGTGTTTTTGTAGGAGCTTATCAGACTATCACATCTTATCAAATAGCTAAAGGATGCCCAGAGTATATAAGCCTAGAATCAATATCGAAACCCAGGCCAGATGCTCTTCATCTGCGACTTTTGACTGATATATAATAACACCCTTAACGCGCAGGGAAAGGGAAACACAGGCCTGTGGACCAAAGCTTAATGATGG